CCTGCTAAGTATTTATTTACTTAATTGAGGAATGTTAATGTTTTTCAGAGCTTTTATTTACTTAATGAGTAAAGAGTTTTAAGTGTAAAAATAAAGGACTTGCTTAAACTATGAGAAACCATAAAAGAAATGCTAATAAACATTAGGGAAGAGATCATGTCAGAAACCAAAGAAAAATTCCACACTGACATAGACTGCCTGTGAACAGTGGAAAAAAAGAAAGACACAAGTGTGAAAAATAAAGTAAATGCAGCAGGACTCATCTGATAGAAGTAGAGAATAGGAATAATCAGCAAAATGTAGTGAGTCTAGAAGAGCTTAGTATTGGAAAAACTTTTTTAACTGCTCACTGCAATGAGTTGAACACTGTTTTCATGCAGTGGATGCTTTTCATTCCATCTGATACAAATATACCTGCCATATTCAGAAAAAGACTGCTTCCAATATGTTTGGCCTTGTTAATGACTATCCATAAGCCACAGATCAGAGAAACTAATGAAAAGTAGTGTTTCTATTAGTAAAAATAAATATTAATGCACTGCTTTTGGAAATAATAAAAAAAACATGTACTTACAAGTATGGGTATGTTGGTTGATAATAACATGTGGTAGTGTTTCTTGATCTTGGCTGCATACATACATGTTCAGTATTTTTTTAATGATGTTTTAAAGGATTGTTTTGCCAATTTTAAAGACATCATTTCTGTTTTACAGCAATAACTTTTAACTAAAAGATTTTTATGCAATGCAAATATAATTTTTTAAATATTTTTATTGTGGTAAAATATGCATAACAAAATTTACCATTTTAGACATTTTTAAGTAGTCAATTCTGTAGATGGCATTAAGTACATTCACAATATTGTATAATCATCACCACTATCTATTTCCAGAACTTTTTCATCATCCCAAACAGAATTCTACCTGTTAATCAATAACTCCCATTCGTTCCTCTCCCCAACCCCTGGCAACCACTATTCTATTTTTCTTTTAACCTATGAATTTGACTATTATATATACTTTATAGAAGTGGAATCATACAACAATTGTCCTTTTTGTCCAGCTTATTTTAATTTGCATTTTTTCAATATTTATCCATGGGGTTTTTTTTTAAAGATCTTATTTATTTTATTTTTAGAGAGGAAGGGAAAGAGAAAATGAGGGACAGAAGCATCACTGTGTGGTTCCCTCTCACATGCCACCCCCTAGGGACCTGGCCTGCAACCCAGGCATGTGCCCTGACTGGGAATCGAACCAGCAACCCTTTGGTTCTCAGGCCATTGCTCAATCCACTGAGCCATACCAGCCAGGGCTCAACATTTATCCATGTTGTAGCATATATCAGAACTTTATTTCTTTTTAAGGCTGAATAATACCCCATTTATGTATATACCAGATTTTGCTTATTTATTCATCCATTTGTGAACACTTGGATTGTTTCCATTTTTCAACTCTGAATAATGCTGCTGTGAACATGGATATACAAGTATCTGTTTGAATCGCTGTTTACAGTTCTTTTAGGTGTATACCTAGGAGTAGAATTGCTGAGTTATATGGCAATTCTATTGTATGCTTAAATTTTTGAGGAATCACCAACTTTTCCACAACAGCTATACCATTTTATGTTCCCACCAGCAATACATGAGGGTTCTAATTTCTCTACATCCTCACCCACACTTATAATTTTCTATCTGTTTATTTGGGGTTGTTTGTTTGGTTTTATACTCTAGCTATGCTAGTGGCTATGAAACAATTATCTCATTGTGGCTTTGCCTTGCACTTCCCTAGTGACTAATGAAAGATGTTGAGCATCTTTCACATGCGTATTGGCCATCTGTCTATCTTTGGAGAAGTGTCTATTCAGGTAATTAGCCCCCATTTTTATGCTAGTTTCATTTTTAAATCATGATTTCTCCAGCTGGGTTCTGGGGATACATTCTAATAGAAGAGGGTTCGCCCTTTTGGTTTCATCTTCCTTTGGGGAGCCCAGGCCTCTGGGTTCCAATAACACTGCCTTCTTCTTTTATCTCTCCAACCACAGGTTGGTAGACACTGGCTGTCCTAATCTTGGGTCACTTCACTGTTCCCTGTTTTACCCTCAAATCCTCCATCAGTTATATATCAAATTCTTTTCATTACCTGATGTAAATATTTGATATGGTTCCTGTTTTCCCAGGCAGATCCTAACTGGTACAGAACTTAAACACCCTCCTTTTAGAGTTGAGAAAATGTTGACCGTTTTTCCTTCTAAATACATTTTAGAATTAACTTGGTCGTGCTCAAGAAAAAACTTTGCTGTCATTTCTGAAATCAGGAACTTTAGAAATTTCTTCAGATTCATGAAGTTAGTAAAAGGCCAGGTACTGGGACCATAATGCCTTGATTCTCAAACTTCCAAGTAGGGACCTGGATGACTAAAGGAGTGGGAGAGAGGTTTTATTATTATTATATTTGCTATATGTAGCCTTATCCTTTTGATTTTTATTAGTCACATAAATCTTTTACCTATTTAGAATAAATAAATTTTAAATCTTTAAAATGAAATGTCTACCTTTACACATTTGCTATATAAATGTGGGTCTTTACAAAGTGTCTTTAATTTGTTTTAAATGTCATTATACTTGCTAGTTGTTAGAAGTATTACCATGATTATCACAAAACAGGAGACTTCATTAAGCATACAGTTATTCATAAGCTTATACATACACAAAATGTAGTTCTATATAATTAATCCCATTTGTATTCTGTTTTAAAAAATAATGACCTTCAAATATTTTTGGTCATATTTTCCTATTGGTAAAAACTTTTGAGCATATACCTCCATTATATGTACTGCATATTTATTTATAATTATAGTAAGTACATGGACCACCAAACTAATGTGTACATTATAAAACATTAACAAAAGTTGACATTTACAAAAAAACAAGGTAAACAAATTAAGAGGACAAATTCTAAAGCTATCCTCCACCCCAGTAAATTAGTCTTGTGCCCCCTGGGGTGTACTATCCCCCTCCAATGGGACAGTGTTTGAGAGGGTTTCAGCTAAGAGATGCTAAGGGATCTCAGACACCTAATCTATGGAAGTGCGTACATGTTCACCAAACTTAGTGAAAATATTTAAAGTGATCTCTGACTTCAACTCCTTAATTTAAACACAAAGCAATAAAACTTGTTCCATAAACACATTAGCTTCAATTCTAAGCAGTTTCTCTGAACTGTAATAAGAATCTGACTTGCACAGCCTCTGAACTTAGCAATCACATCACTAGTATACATTAGACTCTTTATCATCAAAGATCAAGCAGCCTTGAGACAATGGGAGAGGGTATGTGTATGGATTTGAGAGGAACCTAAAATAGTAATAGTAACCATTACAAAATTCACTAGTTTCTATCTGACTTATAAAAATGAGTGTTAACAAAAAAATTATGATGAAAACAATACAAAAGTAAGCTGTGATCTGGAGTCTTTTTTAAGGCCATTCCCTTTGTTAGATGCAATGTAATGACTGCCTTACCTACCTGGATTTAAACAGCTCAAAACTAGCACTCAGGTAATCCCTGCAGAGCTGAAAGGCATCCTGCCAATGGAGTCTTTCTCTGAGTTACCTGGAACATTGGGCAGATCCTCTCTTTGGCCAGTTTCACAGAAGTCTGCAGTGTGCTGGACACCAGGATGATATAAAGTTGAATGAGACCATGACTTCTTAAGTCAATGACATTTAGGAATGAATCATTTCTTCATGGAGAAAAATTCATAAGAGCAGAATACTGGAAATGATTACTTCTCAGGGAAAATAGGACAAAGCTTCACAGAGGGAAGGCCATTTGATTTGGACAATGAAGATGAACTGCAGTTGAGAAAGGAAGAGGAGGAGTGGGAAGGTAAAGATAAACAAGGCAAGGAAAAAGAAAATGAACACTGAGTACCCAGCTGGGTGGACATGTATCTCCTGTAATCATCAGGAAAGCCTTCTGAGATGACCTTATCCCCTTTCACACATGGAGAAACTGGCTCAAGAAAGTAAAGTAACTAGCACAAATCACCGTGCAAATTGCCTTCTGCAGTTTAATATTAACTGTTCATATTAAAGGGTGCATTAGCTAGATAATGAGTGCAATTTAGTGGTCCCAAAATTTCACTGTATGTTATTTGTAAGGGTACAGAAGAGTTGCACTTACGAGAACTATTCTTAGGAAGTGCAGTACATCTATTGGGAAAAATAAAGAATACCTGAGCTATTTGGGATGCTGACGTGGTCAAGGTCCCGTAGGGCATGCTGGCATAGCTGGTTGCTATACTCTTCAAAGGAGGATGTTTTCCTGTAATACTCAGGAGCCTCTTCTTTAAGTAAATCTTTAACAGATATTTGAGGACTGTTAATCTGCAGGTGCTCAAACTAATACTGTGCTCAAGGACCCCACTTGTTCTGAGTGGTTACAGAAGGGTTCTCTGCTTAAACTCCAGAGCCACTGCTCTCCAAGATGCACAATGGCTCCCTGTAGCATGAAACTACATTGCAGACAGACAGGCAGCTAGGCAGCCCAACAGACAGAGAGGTACAGATGGGAAAGAATTAGTGGTGATTTAAAGATTGTGCTGCTGATGATGCCCTGGCTGGTCTTTTCTCAGTGGATTGGGCACCAGACTGCAAAATGAGGAGATGCTGGATCAATTCCCAGTCAGGGCACATGCCTGGGTTGCAGGCCAGTCCCCAGTAGGGGGTGCTTGAGGAGTAACCACACATTGATGTTTCTCTCCCTTCCTTCCCCTCTCTAAAAATAAATAAATAAAATCTTTAAAAAACAAATTGTGCTGCTGGTGGTCTTCTCACAGGAGAATCTGATGTAATCTTAGTGTTGTATTTTCTTAAACTTTTTATCATAACCACAAAATTTTCAGGGAGCTTAAATCCTCTGGGGAACAAGTTGTGGTAAGAATGAGTGAACCCATAAATCTCTACTGTTAAATCTTCCATTGTATATTTGTTGTCTTCAGGAAATTACTACAATCAAGGCAAGATTCGTAAGAAAGAACTTTTGCAGAGCTGTGATGTTTTGGGGATTCCAGCCTCCAGTGTAATGATTATTGACAACAGGTAATTCAGCTGTATTAGTGATTTGATTGAAAACACATCTAGTGTTTCACTGTTAACTGCTGGCTGCTGGTTATGTAAGATAGTCTCTTTTTTAAAGTATTTTTATTGATTATCTATTACAGTTTTCCCAATTTTTCTCCCTTTATACCCCTTCCACCCTGCCCCCCCTCCACCCTCCAGCATTCCTACCCCCCTTAGTTCATGTCCATGGGTTATACATATAAGTTCTTTGAGTCCTCTGTTTCCTATACCATTTTTTATCTCTCCCCATCTATTTTATGCCTACTAATTATGCTTCTTCCCTATTCCTGCTATTCCTTTTTCCCCCTATTCCTGACTTCGCCCTTCCCATTTCTGTGTGATCTCTATTTCTCTGACTCTGTTCCTGTTCTAGTTGTTTGCTTAGTTTTTGTTTTCATTGTTTTTCTTTTCATTTAGGTTCATTTGTTGATAGTTGTAAGTTTGTTGTCATTTTACTGTTCATATTTTTTATCTTCTTTTTCTTAGATAAGTCCCTTTAACATTTCATATAATAATGGCTTGGTGATGATGAACTCCTTTAGTTTGACCTTATCTGGGAAGCACTTTATCTGCCCATCCATTTTAAATGAAAGCTTTGCTGGATAGAGTATTCTTGGATGTAGGTCCTTGCTTTTCATGACTTTAAATACTTCTTTCCAGCCCCTTGCCTGCAAGGTTTCTTTTGAGAAATCAGCTGATAGCCTTATGGGAATTCCTTTATAGGTAACTCTCTCCTTTCCTCTTGATTCTTTTAGGGTTCTCTCCTTATCTTTAACCTTGGGTAACTTAAATGATGATGTGCCTTGGTGTGTTCCTCTTTGAGTTCAACTTCTTTGGGACTCCCTGGGCTTCCTGGAAGTTTATTTCCTTCACCAGATTGGGGAAGTTTTCCTTTATTATTTGTCCAAATAAGTTTTCAATTTCTTGCTTTTGTTCTTTTCCTTCTGGCACCCCTGTAATTTGGATATTGGAGCGTTTCAGGTTGTCCCAGACGTTTGTAAGACTCTCTTCACTTTTTTGAATTCCTGTTTCTTCATTCTGCTCCAGTTAGATGTTTATTTCTTCCTTTTGTTCCAAATCATTGCTTTGAGTCCTTGTTTCCATCCTGTCACTGTTGGTTCCCTGAATATTTTGCTTTATTTCATTTTGGATATCTTTCATTTGTTTTTAATTTTTCAGCCAAGCTCAGTCAGATCTGTGAGCATTTTAATTACCAGGGCTTTAAATTCTCCATCAGTTGGTTGGCTATGTCCTCATCATTTAGCTCTCTTTCTGGAGTTTTGTCTTTCTCTTATTCAGTCCTATAGTCCTGTGGCCACCAGTCCTATAGGATTAGATCTACCATTATGACTTTACTTAACCTGAATTACTTCCTAAAGATCTTCCTCCAAGTACAGTCATATTGGGGGTTAATTCTTCAACAGATGGGTTTAGGGAAGATGCAATTCAACCCCTAGCAACATGCAGCCTGTAGTCTTTCAATCTCTTACTTTACAACCCAGAAAAGCAGACCTTCAGAATTTTACTTTGGGTGATTCAGATGAGTCAAAGAGAAGAATGAAGGGTAAGAAGAGAAAAGAAATTTTATGGAGAGTCTATACTCATAATAATAACAGTAAATAATATTAAACCATTATTGTCAGTACCCAAAACCATCTTATTTAATCATTAAAATAATCCAGTTTTTTTCTGATGTTATAGATAAGAAACCATTTTACTTAATCCTTTAAATAATCCAGTTGATTTTCTGGTGTTATAGATAAGAAACTATATATATTAGTGAGAGGCTGGGCAATTTGCTGCACGTCATACAGCATAAGTGGTGGAGGTAGCATTTGAGGAGAAGCAGTCCGGCTCCAGAACCTGTGCTTTAACCACTGTGTTTTATGCCTACTCCATGCCTGACACAAACTTTCACAAAGGCCACCTCATCTAACCCGTCTACCAACCGTGTAAGATAGGTTTTCTTATCCTTTTGTTTCACTTAAAGAAACTAAAGCTCAGAGAGATTAAGAGACTTCTCTGAGGTCACATGTTTAATAAATGGCAATGCTAGAATTCAAAAACAGAAAGGAAGACAGAGTCGATTCCTGGCTTCCTGCAGGAAAGTAGGTCACCACTTTGTTACTGTATTTGAAAGACCAGGATATGTTTAAGTACATATTACTGACCTTGTGTGTGGTCAGTTTTTACTTCCATTATTGTGAACTCCATTGCTAGATTTCAGGAAAACATTTAGCCAGAAGAGCTTCCCCAAGTACACCCCTTATCTGATCACTTAAAGATGGGGGAAAAAATTAGTTCTGAAGGAAAGAAGGTATAATGTCAGTCATTAGATGCCTAAATGGAAACTTTCAGTAACTCCACCCAGTTCCTTAATATCTATGAAGTTCTGTTAATTTAATGAGTCATATGATGTTAAAATACATGTTGTTAACAGATACACAGTAAATGCCTGGAATGGGCGAGGTGCTATAATAGGTGTTGAGGAAAGAGAAGAGCAGTTTCAAGACGTAGGAGCTGACTAATCAGAGCTGGCAGGACAGGCACCAAGGCTGCCCTTGTGGAAAGCTCTTCATTACGCCTATGCTCATTTGTAGGCCAGGGAGAGTGGTTAGAGGCTCCCAGGGCTCTTGGGAATTAGATGTGACTAGAAATGCAACCTGTGGATTTAGTACTCATCTGTCGCTTGTGTGCTTCTTAATATATCCGGAAGAATCCATAGAATTATTTCACTTATATTTCAAAGTAAAAGAAAACGAAAAGTGCCCACACATTTTTATATGCATAGATAATTTCTAAAAGGATACATACCAGACTCCTTCAGAGTAGCTGTTACTAAATTGGGGCCAGGAAGAGCAGAACACTTTTATTTTTTAATTTCACAGAATTCTGTGCAGTTTGATTTTTTAAAGGAAGCTTTCATTACTTTTTAAATTTATATGTGTGTGTGTATGTATATACACACATATATGTGTATGTATATGCATATATATACATATGCATGTGTGTATATATATATGAGAAAGACTACCCCACATATCTAATAAAACATTCTTCCCTCTCTACTCAGCTTCTATCCATACAAGTGAATGCTAAATTAGAAATATGTACATTTTGCTATTTGACTTGATAAATTCAAAGAATAGAATAGAGTTCATTGAAAAAATAATAATGTTTTTAAGCCTTTTTATAAACACTATGGTCTTCTCATAGGCCTCATTCTGGAGTGTGGGTGGGAAGAGGCTCAGATACACTGCTCCTAAGCACTCTGACTAATCATGGTAAGGCCTCAAGAGAGGCTGAATATGATGAAATAACACAAAGCACATTCCCCTATTGTAATCCATGACTATTAAAGTACGCTGGGGCCCAATGACCTATTGTTGGACAAAACTCAAAGCTGTTCATGGTCTGATCTCTGTTTCCCTGGTCAGCCTCATCATCTAGGCCACAGGTGGCAAACACAAGGCCCTCAGACCTAATCCAGCTTCTACCTTGTTTTACTGGCCTGGCACCTTGTTCTTACCCCGCAATAGTGCCAAGCTAAAGTTTCACTGTTAAAGAGTAGTTACATTTATACAGTCCTAAAATTACATTCAACTCTTTGAAGGCAACCACAAGACTGATGTGGCTCCCGGTGAAAATGAATCCGACACCCCTGATCTAGCGCATTTTACTCACATCACATCCATTCCTGTAACAAAAATAGGTAGGACTGCCCAGTACCCCAAACTGTGTCTCCTCTGCATCTCTTGTCTCCTATTTGAACTGGGCTTCAAATACACCATGCTTGCTTTTTCCCCCATCATTTTATTTATTAAATATTTCCATCACCATTTATCACCACTATATTCCCACCTCTACCCAGTCCCCAGCCCCTCTCATACCATCCTTTCTTACATGTGTACACCTTTGCCTGTGCTTGTGCCTGCCTCTCTCATGCTTTCTCACTTCTCAACACCCCTTACCTGTCTCTTCAGCAAGCTTCTATTCATACTCAAACCTCAGTTCAAGGATTACCTGAGACTCTGGCACCATCCTGATTGACCCAGATTTTCTTGGACATCTTACATTCTCATTGTTCAATTATATCCTACCATGCACACTAATTTTAGTCTATGCTAATAAACCCCTCTATATTTTTTATTCCTGTATCCCCAGCATCTATCATAACCCTTGATACATAGTAGTTGCTCGGTACTTATTGGTTGAATAAATGAATGACTCCACATACACTGTGAGTTTTCTTTCTGTGGCCAGCATCTAAATGTGTGGTCTTGAAGAACTTAAATGGGTGCCTATGCATCTCAACCTTTTTTTTAAATTTAATCTTTATTGGGTTTTTTGCCATTACCTTTAGTCTTCTTATACCCCACTCCCCTCATCAACCCCCTTTCATCACTTTTTCTTCATTTACCCAGAAATGGTGATTAGCAAACCATTTTCCAAGATTTAAGTGAAATTGTTTTCACATTCTTAAATAAATCAGTCTAGATTCCTGATTTGCATAGCTATTTTTAACCCTTTGGAAAGTTCTAAATGAGTATTCAGTTTGGAAGGATTTTTCTACATCTATTTATTTTGCCATTCTACAGATTTGGCGACACTGTCCTAAGATTTCAACACAATAAAAATCTCATTCTTTTTAGTGCTTGTCTTAACATCAGTTTGACATTAACAAGCCCAAGGCTTTTATAGATTAATTTTAGCTAACAAGGAAATAGAGTCCAGTAACTACTAGGAAACATAAATGAGCCTGGCTTGCTAGTGGTTCCTGAAAATCTTTCTGTTTTCCAATAAATCCATGCAAGTCATATTGTGAAAGAGAAGCCACAAAGCAGATGCTGGGTCTGTTGGGGTTATGTTAGTAATTAAACCCCCTCTCCTTTTGAGGCCCAAGAAGAGCTCTCCTCTGAAAAAGCAAAACAGATTGTATGCTGGCTGCTGAAATGGATCTGACCAAGTGTCCTCTCACT